TAAGTTTATAAATCGTTCAACCTATTTATAAGAATTATTTAAATAAATTTATTTTTATTTTAGAATTGAGAGTGATATGAAAGGAAACATATTAGGGGAACAATTAGAAACGGGTTTGGATGATACTTTTAGTAAAAATGATTGGAAAAATGATGAGGTAAGTGATTGGGAAAGTGATACTAATTTGGAAGTAGAACAAGATATGCAGGATAGACTTTTGAAGGTGAATTTTGGATTGAAGTAGAGACTGGATGCAAAGTTAGAAATAGAAAAATGCAGTCTTTATAAAATGGGTAAGACACTAAAATTAACTTATTATGATAAATAAGAACCTAGCGGCTTGTGGACAGAAGCAGCAAAGGGAACTCAGAAATTAGAAAGCTTTTTTAATCTGCAAGATGAATTAATGCAAGAAGGTTCTCAAGATAATTTATCAGATGAAGAGGAAGTCTCTATGTTAGTCCAGCCATCAGAAGACATAGTTTTAAGTTTGAAAAAGGATTTAAAGAAAAACTTTAATGGAATGTTGGCAAAAGAATATGTTACAAAAAGGGCTATATTTGAATATCTTAAACATTTATTAAAAGGAGAGAAAAAAATGAAGGCAAGTATAGGTGCGGTAAATATAGTATATAATAGTAATAGTAAATCAACAGCTACTTGGATTCAGAAAATAGCAAAGTATTAGTGCATTAATAATACTCTACCTACATCTCATTGGAAAAACATCAGAAGATCCGTAGAATTATTGATGATGAAGATATTGCTAAAATATATCATAAATGGATTCGAGAAAATGGAAGTTATACAACTCCACATCAGTTTAAGAAGTTTGTTCAGGATATATTGTTATCAAAAGCAGGTATTAATAAAAATGTGATTAGTATAAGTACTGCAAGACGATGGTTAAATGTGCTTGGATATCATTATCAACAAAACAAGAAATATATTATGATGAACATGAGAGAGAAGATGTTATGGAATATTGAAAAGTGTTTTTATCAAAAATGGCTGAACTTGAAAAATATATAGCAACATATGAAGGAGATAATATGGAAAAATTGCTCCTTTATTAACTTCAGAAGAGAAAGAGCATATATTAATATTTCATGATGAATGTATTTTCTACTCAAATGATGAGAAACGCAAAACATGGGCTAAGTCAAGTAAGTTACCATTACGCAAAATAGGTAATGGAAAATCAATTATGGTAAGCGAATTTTTAACTGAAGCTTGTAAAAGACTTAAACTAATTGCTAAGCAAATTGAGAATTATCCTGATGTTTCAGAAGAAGCACAAGTTTATTTAAAACTAGAAAAGAATGATGAAGAATATTGGACAGCTAAACATCTTATTTAACAGGTTGAATATAAATCCATTCCTATATTTAAGGCTTTATTTCCAAATTGTATTAGAGTATTTGCTTTTAATAATAGTTCAAATCATTCTGCATTTGCTTCTGATGCATTGGTTGTAAAGAGGATAAATATCGGATCTGGTAAAAATGCACCTAAAATGCATGATACCTTTTGGGATCCAAATAATGAAAGACAAAGTATGAATTTTCCTGATGGTTGATCAAAAGGTGTAAAACAAGTTTTGATTGAACGAGGATTGTGGAAAAAAAATATGGTAGGAGAATGCAAGTTATATAAAAACAAAAATGATGATCTTCTACATGTAGATTACTGTAAAAGATAGATTTTATCTCTTCAACCAGATTTTTTAGCTCAAAAATCTGCATTAGTTGAAATAATTGAAAATGCTGGTTATGTTTGTATATTTTTTCCAAAGTTTCATTATAAATTGAACTTTATTGAATGCTATTGGGGAGCAGCAAAATGACATACATGAAATAATTATGATTACACATAGAGTGGATTACAAAAAATAGTTTCTTGTGCCTTAGATTCTGTATATTTAACAACTATTCGTAGATTTGTAAGAAAAACATGGCGATATATGGATTTATATAGGTATGGAATTACAGGTAAATTAGCAGAATATGCTGTTAAAAAATACAAATCACATAGAAAAATTCCTGAAAATGTATTAGAGGAATTAAATAAAATAAATTAATAAATTTCATTTATTTTAATACAAAAAATTTAATAAATTAAAACTCGATAAATTAATGATTTAATATTTAATCATGTGATAATTTTAATTCATGTGATGATTTTTAATTGGATAAAGATCACTTGACAGGTCTGTGATTGGCAAAAAAAAATTTGGACTGTTTGCCTTTTAGATGACCTGCACCATAACACTGATAAATTTATTTTTAACTATTTATAAATTTTTTAGCTAACAAATTCTATTTTTATATATTTTAAATTTTATCTTGTATTTCATAAATTAAATTGCTAATTTATAAGTTTAAAATATATATTAATATTTATAAATAAATATTATAATTTTGTTAAAAATTACTATTAATAAAAATAAATTACAATTTTTTAATATAATTTATAATATTTATTTTAAATTTAAAAAGCTTCCTAATAGTATATCCTTATATATATACTTATATGAGATATCCTATAATTTATTTCTTTTAATTTAAATGATAAATATAAACTTTAAATATATTAATAATTAATTACAATAATTAGAACTTAAAAATTCTATTAAAATATATGATAATTTTCAGTAATACAATAATACAGCTATTATAAAGATAGACTTGAGGTATAATTCAAATCACCCATTTTAAAATATAATTTTTTGTATTTAGATTTAAAAAAATTATTACAAAATGATTAAGAAAATAAAACTTTACTTGATAATCCATCTTAATAAATAAAAAAATGATTTGACTGTTGCAATCTGATTAAATTAAAAATCAAAAAAAAAATTATTATATAAGTCTGAAGCAATTCTGAAAAAATAATTTTAAATAAAAATCATTTATATTCAATTCATAAAAATCAAAAGGTAAAAAAATTAAAAAATTAAAAAAATAAAACTAAAAATGAAATTAAGAAAAACTTATTACATACTTTTAATTAATAAACTAAAAGTAGTAAAAAATAAAAAAAATGAATGATGATTAAAAAAAAACCTCTAGTATTTCTAATAGAAAGAATAAATATTTTAATATTTAACTGAAATTATTATTTTTATGTCAGTTTTTTCAAAATTTAAAAAATTTTTATATTAAAATTTTTTATGATTTATATATATAATGTATAACTAATAACATAAAATATTTATATTAATATATTATTAGAATTAACCTTATAAAGAATATTATTATAAAGTTAATTAATAAATAATTTTTTTATAAACTATTTTTAGATATAGTTAAGTAAAAAAGTAAAATGCAAATTTAAGATATATATTTTATTAAGTGTTTTAGATAGAATTTTAATTATAAATTATTTGATAGAATGAATACAAAATTACTGCAAATTATTTTTTGTTTTATGACAAAAATGTTTACTTTATAATAAAAAACTGTGATTTTAAAACTGTAAATGCAAAAATTTCTTGATTTTTCTAAAATATCAAAGTTTCTTAAATATTATAATTAAGTTTATTATTAATCTATTTAATGAAAGCTATTCATTTTCAACAAAAAGTCTCTTTATTTTTTTACTATAAAAACAAAAGTATCTTAATATTATAAATGAAAAGTTTTAATTGTTGAATTAAATTTATACTGAAAAGCGTTTTTCAGCTATATAAGAATATATTATAATAGATGATTTTCTGTGAAATTATTATATAATCATTTAAAAATCTTCAAAATATATCTTTAATATTTATAATCTAAAAAAAGTATGATTTTAATTTAGTATAATATCTTCAAATTTTTTGAATATATTTATTTATTCATAAAATATAATTAATATATAAGTTTTATATTTAAACATTCAGTAATGTTTTAAAATTATAAATAAATCTAAGATTTTGCAATTGATTTTTAGAAATATTGTAAATTAAATTTAAATCTAAGATTTAATTAAAGAGAAAATATCATGGTATTTCTAATCTTTTATAAATATAATATGTGATTATATAAAATTAACTATTTAAAATTTTGTATTATTTATTTTTTCACGTTTTTTTTCTTTTTTAAACTTTTATTTTATTTATATTATTCAACTATATTTTCTTTTACAATATGATTTGTTTATTGACTAAAGAGACAATTTTAGAGTTTTAGAATGTATTAATAAATATAAATATAGAAAATCTAATAATATATAAATAGGTTATTTTTAAATTTTATGAAGTTTATAATTATTTAAATAAAATTATTAAACTAGATAATAAAATATTATCTAATCAATTAGAACAATTTTTAGTAAAAATAAGTAAATTTAATGGATTTGTATTTTGATAAAAGAAATATTTAAAATATTAAATTATGAATTTATTTAATATAACTTAATTTAAAAGTTTATATAGAATTTATAATGATCATATAAATCAAAAACAATCAGATTTATAAAAATTTATGAAATTAAATTTATACTTAATTTACTTATTATCAAAATAGATACTTCTAAAGGTCTCTTATAAAAGATTTGAATTTGGTTAACTTTATTATATTATTTAAGAGGTAGTAATACTAAATGATTAAAAACTTCTTAAATTATTAAAATAGATAATAGTGAAATAAAGCTTAAATTATTTAAAGAAAAATTATATAGAAAGAATTAAAGATTTATATGTAATATTTAGTACTAGTTTTATATCATCTACTATTTTAAAAAATATTTATACTTCTATTATAGATATCATAAAATACTTAACTAATATCTTAATAATATTAAGAATGATTAATTTTTAGTATTAATCAATATATCCAAAAATATAATAATAATTAATATTTAATAATAAAGTTAGAAAAGGATCACATAATATAATAATACTTAATATATATATTAATTTTAATTTGAATTTTAAAGATTATAATATTATTAATATAATCAATAGATATTTACAATTTTATTAAATCTGATATTACACTTGATAAGCAACATAAAATAATTATAAGTATATTTACCTATCAGCATTTATCTATTAAGTATAAATAAAATAATATTTCTTTTCTAATTCCTATTAAAGATATAACATTAAAAGATTTTAACTAACTATATAAATCAATTAGGTATATAAATAAACATTTATTACATTTATTGAAATTTTATTATTTAAAACTAACTATTTTTTTTGGGATTTTCTAAGGTATTTAATTTAAATGATAATATAATAATATTAAATTTATTAAAAAAATGAGTTAAATAATAATTTAACTTATCAAAAATCAAAAAATTTCAAAATTTTTATAGAAAATAATAGTAATATTAATTGTAATATTATTTTTAAGTGTAATTAATATTTTTTTATTAGAAATTATATTTCTATAAAATATAATAAAATATTAGTTTAATATTAATCAATAAAATTTTATGTTATTTAGTATTAATATATATTATTATATTATTATTATATTTTAAATAGTTTATAAAATTAGAGATTTTTTAGTTGTTTATATAAGATCAGTAAATAAGTGATTACATAGAAAAATTAATATAAAGATAATCATGAATAATATTTAGTAAAATAAAAGATTATTATTAATTAGACTTGCAATAAAATTTGCAGAATTAAATCAGATCTATAATTCATTATTAATATATAGAATTAAACTATGTAAAATCAGATTTATATAATATTATAACAATTAAATTATATACGTTTTTATTATTTATTTACTAAAACTTTAAGAAATAGATTCATATCATATAATTATATAGTTAGTATTGAGAATTTACTATTCTTCAAGTAATTGTTACACTAATTTATTTTATATAACTTAAGTTTTCTTATTAAATATACAAAATTCAAAATGTTTATCAAATTTATTTATTTTTGTTGCTTATGACTTATTTTCTAGCTGCTATTATTATATTATTAAAGTTATTAGATTAGTATTCAACATTAATAATCTTCAAAATACAATATTAAAGCTAAGTCGCATTTGACTTTCATGATATAATTATCGTTCCTAGTATGGTTTAAATATTATACCGTATTTTAAGCAAGTGTCGCATTAATATTTGTATGATATTCCAGAGATCACCAACAAAGAATTCGAAGATGTCAGGACGGGAGTCCGAAATGTCTGTTAATGAACATAGACGGAGCGGAGATTCCAGTTGTCACTATATGGGATGCTCTCGCCCTCTTTTATACAATCAACATCGGCAAACCTCCGAAGTCTCTGACTTCTTTCGATCAGCAGAAGAAATGGCTGTTTCGACATTTAGACCAGTTGGCGAAGTGGATATTAATTCTAGAGCCAATACCCGTGTCCCCGCTACCCAAGGACCTACCATGGCCGACAGTATTAAATGTGGCATGGAGATCAAAGCGCCAGAAGCGCCAGAAAATCATAATGATCTCGTTTGGAGCGTCACTAATAGGAAACAGGAGTGCCAGAAAACAAATAATAAATTTACGACAGCAAGTCGATTTACAGAACCATCAACTCTTTCCTCGGGATGCGAATGGGGAATTGGAAGTGAATCCAGAGCCATGGCAGTTCGGAAATTGTGCCGAAACGAATACATTGTTCCATCTAGCATCACAGAGATGCGAGCTACCAATCAGAACTCATGCAATAGAAACAATGACACGAGAAACGAAACCACCTTGCTTGAATTGCCAAAAGATCATGGAGAACAGCACACCCAAGATCTGCCCTTGCTTCTTAAGTTATTGAAGGATAAACTACCATATCGCGATGAGACAAACAAAAATGTCTTGAATGACTTTGAGATCCGAATCTTTGACGAAATTTATGGCATTACTGATTTCTGCCTTGTGTTTGCATGCGAAGATTCAGTCTTTTGGCTAAAAGATTATGATGAGGCTATTTATTTTTGGTCTCGCATAGACGATAGCATGATACGCGGAGGAAGTAATCTGAAAGAAGCTTTGACAAATTATCTTTTTCGTCAAGAAAATCTTTGTTATGTCGATGAGATTACTCGCGAATTGGTACCAATAAATGCATATGATAAAGAAGTTGAAGAATGGGCAAAATCACCCGAGATTTATGAATATTTTGATGCAACTAAAGTATCACCAAAGCATGAATCGAAAATGGCTGGAAAAAAGCAACAAAAAAAGAAAAAGAATAAAAAGAAGCATTGACATGAAAATAATTCCTTTTTTTTTAACACTTATTCTACAATTAAATCCAATATATTCATGTATCTTTCATTCGTAGAGTAGGCTGTATTGCATGATTTGCTTTATTGGTAATTTGTATAATAGTAATGTACAAGAAATATTTGAAAAATAATAAAAACGAATGCAAATTTAACTGCAAATTTATTAGAATTTGCCATTGCAATTAAGAAAGGATAAGCAAAATATTTGATGCTATCAAAGAGGGAGGGAGTACGCGGATCCTAGGCCATTTAATGTGAGTCCCAGCATCAAGTTATTTCTTTGCTCTCGAATAATTTCTATAATTAATTCTATTGCTAACTACGAGATTCTCACCCTCATCTACACTAGATTTCAGAAATAAATTACCCCACCCATATCTACAGAATTTTTATCTATCTATAACACTATCATCCGTACAGACTATGTAAAAGATCATTTCCCACAAGAGAACTTTCTCGAGATAAAGTAATTTCGAACCTACAGTATAAATTCGGAAGATTAGTACAAGGAATTGTTTGCTTAATTTTTTCAGCGTTATTGCCGGAACGATAATGTGCAAAGTTTCAAGAATTCGGCACGTGAAGATGCTTATGACAGAAAAAATTATTTGATATACTACGCCAGACTTTTGCTGTGCCGTTGCATGTGACGAGATTCATGTGAGTAATTTTGTGACTGTGTCTATTGTACGCGTGATGATGGTCAGTGATTTTCTCGGCGAAGATCAAAATGCCGATATATAACAAGAAGAGCAATATGTCCGTTTTATTATGGAACATCTATAGCGGAAAATAGATTAAGATCGTGATGACATGTTTCAAGAAGCTAGCCGAGCAATAAACTAACTTACTTTATAATACTTTACGGAATATACTCGTTTGTTTGATTGGAGATAATATTGATGATGTAAATTATGGTAAGTTTGAATGTTTCGCTTATTTTTTGTTTGTTATTTGGACAAGGCAGATAAAAGGATTCACTAACCAGGTCATCACCTTTTTATATAATTCACAGGA